AGTTATCTTTTGAATCAAGATCTCACATTCTAATTGATTCCACATTCGTGGTGACAAAGGAAACCCTAAGTATTTCATCAGAAACTTTCCAGCTCGAAACCCAGTTATTTGACACAACATACGTTTCATTTCCTCACTAAAACCCCCAAAATATATATATATATATATATATATATATCAGATTTTAAAGGATTAGCAACTAAACCACTGGTGCCTGAGAATCATTCAACACATCAACAATTTTCCCAACAGTATAAACATCAGCTTTGCAGAAGATCATCAGATCATCTGCAGAGCAAATGTTGGTGAGTTTCATTGCTTGACTCTGGGGATGAAATCTAAACTAAGGATCATCAGTTGTGCTTCTCAGTAATCTAGTTAAATATTCGATTACTAAGACAAATAGCAAAGGAGACAGAGGGTCTCCCTGCCGTAAACCCCGCCTACCCTTAAAAAACCCACAAGTTTCTCCATTAAGGTTGATAGAAAATGAAGTTGTGACAATACATTCTGTTACCTTGCTGATGAAAGATTCCGGAAACATATAAGCTATGAGCATCTCCTCAATGAACTCCCATTCCACGGAGTCGTATGCCTTCTTGATGTCGATCTTCATCATGCACCGTCCACTAATCTGTTTCCTCCCGTACAGTCGGATCAATTCCTGTGATAATAAAACATTGTGCCGGATGAATCTCTGACTGACAAATGCACTCTGGTTTGTGTCAACAAGCTGAGGCAACACTTCCTTCAGTATTTCAGTAATAACCTTCAAAATGCATTTATTGGTTACATTGCAGCACACAATTGGCCTATATCCTGATGCATTTTGAGGGCTATCAGTCTTCGGGATAAGAGCAAGCATTGTGGGATTCATTTGTTTCAATAGCTGGCCTTTATCAAAGAACTCAAGAATGGCCTCTATAACACCCTCTTTAATCACATTCCAGGCTCCCTTGAAAAAACCGCTTCCGTATCTGTCCGGTCCAGGGCTCTTACAGTTGTGTATGCTCCACATAGCAGACTTGATTTCCTGCACCGCAACTTGTCTTAAGAGCCTCAGCTGCTGTTGGCAGTCCAACACAGGTCCCAGTTTAAAGATGTCTGCTTGTGATGCCTGTCTTCGACTACTTTGACCTAATTGCACCCGAAAAAAGTCCACAAAACAATCTGTATCTTAACAGAAAAAAGGTTCAAGCTGTCACATTTCCGTATTCCGAAGTATATGCCCAATATCTGTGCCATCAAGCATCACACTTTTGACTTAAAATGGTGATTGAATGTCATAAATGGTAAATGTATATTATCCCTAGTTCACGTATGATCATCAAACAATTGTATCAACCAATTAAGCGGGAATCAGTGCAATCATTCATGATTGATACATTGATATAGTATAAGAAGTTTTTCGAATTTTTTTTAATGGAATTTTAATACTCCCACTTAACACGTTGGAATTGGAAGCCTTATTTATTACATAATTCGATGATTGAAGATGAAATAAGGTCAATTGATATCTTTTCTAAATCCTAAACCAGTTGATATTTAAATATTATGAACGAAAGGATAGGAGATGATTTATGGTTTTGCTTCATTTATGAGTTTATTTTATTTAGAAAAAAAAACTCCATCTATATTAGGAAATTTACAACTAATGGTAAAAGGTGATCAACTTAAACCTTCCTATTTCACATTCAAATGACCTTGAAGTTTTTTCTTATTGATGAAATTAATAATTGTTGAATTTTTTGTTACTAATCCTCAAAGCTTAAAAAGTGGGATCTTGTTTTTCATACTACAACTTATTCGATTCAGATTCGATGGTGATCATGTTTACTTAACCCACAATATCTATGGACTTATCGACAATAGTTCTAATTGTGTTATGTTTCACTATTATTTTTGTGTAATTATTGCAAAACAATCTCTTATTGATGACAATATCTTTACATTTTTTATTCATAAATTGGTTTTTAAAGTATTATCTTATTGTTGTACTAAAAAAAAAATTCAAGACATTAGCAGAGCCTAGTCTCCATTTCAAATTTCTTCTAATTGCTAGAATCTATTCTCCATTTTTATTACTTCTCATTGCAACCTATTCTCCCCTTATCAAATTAGATTCTCTTTAACATAATCAACGTATTTTACCATGATGTAGATTACTCTGCTTGAACCTGCTCGAATGCATAAGATTGAATTAGTTTATTGGTTTTGGATACATGGTAATTAACAAATCAAACTTTACAAATGACACATGCAAAATTTGAGAATGAGGCATGCCATTTTTCCTTTTATATTGAGGCACAATACAAAATAAAAAAAGAGATTTTAAATTTACTTACCCCACTTTCAGGATGATTTTGTTCATTTCTCTCTATCATTGTAGTTAAGAAAATCTTATTATTTGTGAAAATTCTCATATATAAGAAGGTTTTACTTGTTAAAAAAGTTACAAGATATCAAATAGTCTATTACAATTGATACTGCATACTCAACAAATATTATTATCTTAGAATTGGTAAGAAACATAATAGAACAAATTCTTAAAACTAATCCCACACTCTTGAACCCACTAATTAATAAAATATTATTGCATACTCAAATTGAATAGCACAATTTCTTGAAAGTAATCCCACACTCTTCAACAATAGTGATTAGTGCCCATCTTTTCATAGCTCATTTTCTGTCTCTTTTTAATTTATTCAACTCATTCCTATCAAACATGTAACTAAAAGAAACGAAAAATAACCAAACCATTAGCCTTTGTTAAGATATGAGCAACATCCAAGCACGAAATCATACATTTAAACAAATTCAAAATAAACATGGGTAAAAAAATCATCTTATATTGTAAAAGACGGCCAGCTCTAGGTTGACCATTGTCAACTAGTCATTTATATATACACGAATTAATATGATCAGATATGCATAATAAGAAACCTCTTAATTGAAACCATAGTTTTAGGTTCATATTTACATAATAATTTAATTTTTTTGGGAAAGAAAAAACAAAAACACTAATTTGACACTAATATATATTGATTATATATATATATCACTAATTACATTGATATCAAAATATTAAAGGAAGCATACTCGACACACAATTGATTGGTCTGTGTGGATAATAATTAATTGTTAGTTAACGGACATGTTAAATAGTAGTAGTACATTTATTTAAATTAACAAATTTACAAAAAAAAAGAAATTACACTTTAATGAAAGAAGATTCTTGTTTACATGTAGTACAAATAGCTCTATACTATCTAATTGTGCGACACGTGTTGATTAAAGATACTGATTTAATATATGATATAATATAATTAGGTTTTAGACCCGTGTGACCGCACGGGTTTGAGTTTTCAACCAATAATTCTAATTCCTATCTAATCAATTTTAGATAAAACAATTAGATAGAGAGAATTGGAAGTGTCAGGTTGTTTGTTTTATGAAAGTAAATATGATTATAATGCAATAATTATAAAACTATATTATTTTTATGATTGTTTAAAAGGTAGAAGAACCAACAGGAAAAAAAGCAGTAAAAGAAGTAAATTAGATGTCTCGTATAAATCTCTTTGTATACCATTCTTTTTTTTTTTTGGCCCCATTCTTCATCTATAGTAAATAATGCACACACGCAAATGAAACCCATGAAAATCAACATTCGATTAATTTCGTCTATTAATTTCGTCATCCTATAATGATCTATGATATTAGATCTAACATGATGATATTAAATCAAATTCTGACTCGAAGAAATTAGTATCGAAGTCGACAAAAACAATTATTGTGTGGTAGTGCAAGGTCCACGTACGCTAAGAGAGCTGCTCTTGCAGATGGTACATATTGTTCGGGCCAGTTCGTTCAGGCTTTATCCTTTCTTTATTATTCAAGCCAGGTGTTTAACTTTTATCTTTGGTATAGAGTAACTTTTAGACCTTATACTATTACTCAGTTATTTCAGCTTCATTTGGACAAGTGTTTTGAAATTTGTTTAGAAAATTCTGTTTGAACCAAAACGTAGAAAAGTACTTTTTGAAAAATAATGCATTTGAACAAGAATTTTTCAAAACTCTTTTAGTAATTAAAAATATCAAAAAGTCATTTGGACTAGATATTCTTCAAAATTACTATTTCTTCAAAATAATTCTTTCACTTTCTTTTCCTAAATTTTTGTTTTCTAATTTACCATTATCTTGTTCCAAAATTTTCTTTTCCACACTTTATCTTCTAACATAAATCAAAATTAGATTATAATTTTAAAACCATTCTGACTAAATTAAAGCATAATATTAAAACCATTCTAACTTATCAAACGCATGATAAGTTTAGAATATTGTTATCTAGAGATTTTTAAATGTCCAACTCTCAAAAGAAACAACAAATAGTTCATAAGATTTGTAATAAATACACAACATTTTAAATTCCACACATTCAACACATACGAATTCCACAAAATTTAAAACCCTAACACGCATTCCACATTTCTGTTGCTATGGTCATTTGCCGATTATTCCACATTTGTAGCACGATTGATTCTGCTCTCTCCTGTAACTCCAGAGCAGACTTGAGTTTCAATGCAGCAATAACAACTGATGTTGGGAATTCTTGGCTAGCAAGCAAGCAGTAAAATATGGTCTTCAGATACTCAGCTAAACTTTTTGCTGTAATTTCCCATCTCAAACTGGAGTCAATGGTTAAATGGAGTGTTCTGCTATTGATGCTTTCCGCAATGAAGTAAAATACCCTCCACGGTCTTCAAGGTTTACCCGTCTGGCAAACAGAACTTCTATCAGCAGCAAACCAAGTGATCTCAAATCAGAATGTTCCCTTACCTCAAAACCGGATTGAAACTCTTTAGTAACTGATATCCCCAATGCTGGCAATCACCAAAAATTCTAAGTTATTGTATACTTCAACAGAAACTCAGAAACATGAGAAATCTTTGGAATCCAATTCTTATCCAATAGAATGTTTGCAAGCTCCAGGTGACGATGGTTTACTGCTTGCCCACTGCATTCTTGAAGGTAAGCAAGTCCCTCAGCAACATCAATGCATATATCGAGCCTATGCTCTCATGAGAGGGGAGGACAGAGAATATAATAACTAGCCTTCACTAAATTCAAATTTACAGGCTGCTGATAAAATGCAGGACAGGAAGTGCATATTCTCAAAAGAAGAATTTTGCAGATTACTTTGGAGTTACAACAAAGAACTTAATACCAAGAAATGCAGAAATATACCAAACCACACTCTTCCATCATTTACAAAGGCTAAAACCACAACCCAATTTGAATATGTGCCAGTTGCTCAAAACAAAGAAATAATGTTTCAATAGCAGTTGATATTTTTAATATACTATATTGCAGCTGGATGAAATTGTATAATATACTCAGTTAGAACTGAGTTTATCAAAAAACTAGTTCGGCAAAACAATGCCATCAATGAAACATAATGGGTGTTCCTTTCTAAAAGCTCAGTCTACAACAAAAATCAATTAAAAGGTGGCTTTGTGACAGAGGATAAACTTCCCAAGATGACAAGATTCATTCATTTTGGAAGGACACAGAGAATAAAGCATTTACGATGGTAAGAACTAGAACTGACCGCTATATTTAAAGCATATGCAAGTCAAAAATTTTATCCAACCTGTAATCCCTCAAGCCTTACTTTCTACCTTGAGGTGTCATTCACAACATAAACGGTGAAAGAGTTTGCTAGGCGAGAACCCACAAGTGAAAGCCCAAGTAAAACCGTTTTTTCCTACACACTCGGCAACAAATAAAACATGCAAGCCACACTATAGACAACCACAAATATTGCAGAGTAAGAACTTTTCAGTTTGTTTTGTTTTCTTCAAAATTTTAGAAATCTTGGGGATGGATGCCAGACCATACACATTCAGTTATGTAGAACTTAACCCCAATGCAACCATCCCACAAAAAACAAAACAGAAGACCGTTTTGATAACTCCAAGAAGTTAAGTATGAGGGAAACATCTTCTCAATGAACTTAAATGTCGCAACACTCCAAAAAACAAAAGGCTTGACACAAGGCAAGTAAGGCAATTAAGTTCTATAAACTCATAATTCACTTGACAAGTTAATCTTCATTCACAACCATAAACTTGAGAAGACATTAGCAACTCTTTTTTTTTCACAAACAACCAGAATGAAGTGAAAGACAATATGGTAGAAGGAAGATAAATCCATTAGACTAAGGCTTATTGGGTAGAAATAAAACAGAGAGGGAAAAATGAAAGGAAACAGTTAAGTTCTAAACTTACTGACTGGAGCCTTTCCCGCAACAATTTGTGAAACACTCTTCCTCTAACTCCAAACATTTTCAGTCAAATTGACCAAGCTGACACTAACCATCAAAATAGGGCAGCAATCATAACCAGCACAATCCACCGAGCTCAAGCAATGAAAAAAAGATTCATTTAAGCTAAATCGTAACCTTCTTTTAGGCCAAACAAATCCAATGGAATTCTAATTTTCAATATCAAACACAGAACATTTATTTAAAAGGGTGAAAAAAAAAACCCCCAAGAAATCTCCTTTTCTCGATTTAGTTCTCCGTGAATCTTTTCTGCTCATCCATTTGTGAAACATAATTTCAAGCTACACATAAATATTCGAACTTTTTTAATTTTAAAAAAAATCCCAAAGATCCACTCACCCTAACCTCCTAAAACATTTAACCACAGAGCCCAAAGGATCTCGAAACTACAATTTCCATAAAAATCCAAAAAAAAAAAATCACGTGAAAACGCAAAAAAGAACTATCATTCCCTCCCCAACCAATTCGAACAAAAACCACAGAATTATAATCCATAGGGCCGTAAGTGATTGGATAGATTTGCATGACGAAATTTTTTATGCATTTTTTAATACCCATTAATGGTAGAAAAGAGAGATTGAGAGAGGATGATTGATGAAGAGGAGTACCTGGAGAGGGCTCAAACGCAGCAAAACCAATTTATGAAAAAGTGTAGATGAACTAAATAAATCGTGGGTTCTGCTTACTGTTGCTTTGTTCCTCCTTACTGTTCTGTGACGGTATAAAAGTGAACTATGCTGAATTCCTATTTTGCTCCAATAAAACGTCACGGGGAGTTTTACCGTCTCCATCGCCGTCACTGGGTTGCCGCACGGCTAAAAGAGAGAAAGTGAGAAAGGGGGCGTATCTAGGGCAAGAGTGAGAGAATACGACTGACTTTTCCCTTATATCTACTGCCCATTTTTTTATAACCCGGATTTGACCCAGATTCCGACCCGCGAACGGAGAAAAAAACCTTGTTTCAAAAAAGTGAAAAATACCCCCTATCTATTTTCTAAAAAGTTTGTTTCAAACCTTCTTTTTTTTCAAATTGATGTTTAGAAAAAACTTTAATTATTTTGTCCAAACGCATTTTAAACTCTAAATAAACTTCTTAGGCTTAAAGTCTTTTTAAAACTCTTGTCCAAATGGAGCCTTCACCTCTTTAGATGATCATAATTCAACGGTGGATGGTCAGAAATTAATCTCCAAGAAATTAAGTAAATGACACTAATCTCTTGTTTCCCGCTTCGAACTTTTTTTTACATGTAGTTGATTTAAATCTGTTGGTGTTATTATATTCCCAAGTTTAGAAATAAAATAGAAATCAACTTTCAAACAAACTTTTTACCATCTGGAAGTCACAATCCTCCTAAATTGTTTATTTGTTTGTGGTATGAAACAAACTAATTCACTGTTTCTTCATATAATTTATTTCAAAACGGTACTTATATATTAATTCGAATTACCTAAATTATTAGAATGACATGTATTATATGTTAGATTAATAGTCAATATAAACATGAGAATGGGAGTACGCAAGTATGAAGCGTAAATTTGTATGAACTGTTTTCTTTTCGTCATTTTCTAGTCCTCTTTCGAAATAACATCCACTGGGCAAAACCGTCGTACTCTTCTATCTTCCCGCTCCGGTACGCTTTCCGGTGACCACTTTCGGGTTCCGACATGGACGGCTCTACTACTTCTACAGACAGCCAGGAGCTTTACAACAGAATCGCTCGAATCTATGACAAAGTTTACCACATTCCCTACTTCTGCGATTTATTTCCCTTCAGTTCTCATTCCTTCATTCCAAGTAGGAGTGTTTTCTGCCGCATATAAGTAAAATGGTTCATTTTTTTTTTCCTTTTTGTTTGCAGTTAAACGACTTGTTGAGCTGGCGCCGGCATCGGGTATGGAAAAAGGGGGACTGTTTCCATGTGTGGGTATGTTCATCTTTTTCCATTTAGCTTTTAAGTTTTGGAGTTTCAACTCTGTTTCCTGAAAGCTAGTTTGTTTAAGCCCGTGTTGTGATGAACTTATGAGTGGTTGATGTATTCTTTCCATTTCGGGAGAAATCTATTTATCACACCTATAGTTTGGGAAATTCAAGTAGATTAGTCCCAACATTTGAATAACTACTAAATCTTAATTGTCAACGGAATCATCAAGTCTCATTATGTTACTAAGCCAAATTTTAGTGACAATACATATGCTGGTGTAATTGTCACTAAAGATTGCTTTTAGCGACAAAAAATAATCAAACGACAATTTAAGATAGAAACCAAATACACATTATAAAATTCGAAGTAAAACTGTTCAATACTTTGGAAATAATCTACACTACTATATTTTCAAATCGTGATATGTTTTTCAAATCTTAATACGTAGATTTTCCCTTTTTATTTATGTATGATTGAAGATGTTCTTTCGCCTACTAGTAATTAATTTGAAATTTCTGGTGGGCTATATGAATCTTCTAGAGCTAAAGAGGGAGATACCGTGTTGGATCTGTGCTGTGGAAGTGGAGACTTGACTTTTCTACTGTCGGAGAAAGTTGGATCCGTAAGGCAAGGTATGGGCTTTTTCTTCCCCACCTCTTATTTGCATTTGCAATATTTCCTTGAATTTTACTTGGTGGATCAAGTTACCTATTGGCTCATTAGCTCATTGATATATATATAGATATATATATATATATATATATCTTGAACTCCGAAACCATAAACCCGTGGGAGCAAAATAGCAAATCTATCATTCTAGTTAGTTAAAGTTAATTTGTATTGATTAAAACTAATATCCCTCGGTCCATAGTTCCAAAAAAAAACAAAAAAAACAAAGTCTACTTTGTTGAATTTTAAAAGAGGGTGAAGTATTTTTTTAGGACGTTAAGATCACTGTTCTTTCTAGGTACATAATACTGATAGACTGATTCTTTCATTGAAAAAAAAAAAAAAAACTGATAAATTGAACCACAAAAAAATTTTCATACAAAAACACATTTTCCTCCTGCACATTTGAAAATGCCCGCACATTTAAAAATGCACATTTTTTTTGTCCCAAATCGTCCTAAGATATGAATTTTATAACTTTTTACGTCCCAAATTACTATTCCGTCTAACTTGCCATCAAAGGATAGGGGTAGTCGGTTTATAGTTTTTCTCTAGTTAGGGAATAAAATAATAATTAAAAATTAAGAATGGATTAAAATATTATTAAATTCAAAAACTAAAATACAATTTTTTATTACTTTTACCCAGTTGAGCCACTGTAATTTAATTTTTTTATTTTTTTGCCACAATAATTCATAGTTATAATAAAAAAAATCAAAATTAAAAAACTTCAAATTTTAAAATTCAAAAAAATCGGGTACAATAATCTTGTGGCGTCCACTACTAATAATAAGCTTACTTTCGATTTTATATTATTTTTTTCCTTGTAAAAAAAATGAGAAAAAAAATCCATGGGGTAGATGTTAATTATTATATTAATTTTTATATTAAAATAAATTTTCTTTTTAGTCGTGAAAAGATTTAATTTTTATTAAGTTGAAAATGGTGGCTGAAAACTTTTTGTAAGTCCTTTCCCGACTAAACAGAAAATTTATTTTAATATAACTAACATCTAGCCCATGTTTTTGGTTTTCTATTTTTTGTTCAGTTATACCAAAAAAAAAAAAAACAATGGCCCCACTAGGTAAACGTAATAAACAATTTCCTTGATTTTTTTAATTTATTTTATTATTTTTCTAATTGTTATTTTATTCCTTAATTAGAACAAAAGACAAAAAGCAACCAAAATACCTAAACTACCCCTATCCCTTGAGGAAATGTTAGACGGAATAATAATTTGGGACGTAAAAACTTGTAAAATTCAAATTTTTAGACGAAATAGGACGAAAATGTACGTTATTAAATATACCGGCCAAAATTGTGCTTTTGCCTAAATGTATGGTATGTTTTAAATAAAACTGATATTATTTCCATTTTGAAATGATTATAATTTTAATTTTTAGTAAATAATAGTAAAAGTAAAAAATTCTAACTGAACCATTGTTTTAGATAGGAGTACTACTCTTCACGATACGGCTGGAAAGATTACGTTTGGGCCGGGGAATCAGATTTGATGTTTCATCTTATCAAAACTTTTTCAGTTTACCATCTCAAGTTTTGATGATTCTTTAGACTTAATTTCCTCCCTTTGCAGGTGGTTGGCCTTGATTTATCAAAGGAACTATTAACAATAGCTACAGCACGGCAGAAATCAAATTCAAAGGAGTGCAACAAAAATATAAAGTAATAATCTATTAGTATATATACAGCATCCGTATTTTCATAGAAACAAACATTTAACATTAATTTGTTGATACACGAGGTAAATGATGATATTGCGGTCAAATTTTAGCTGAAATCAATTCAATAAGAAGAAGAATATAAGAAAGCATGGTTTTGTGCAATTACTGTGCATCTTATATTTTTAGCCTAATCTCACGTATACATATATGAGAGATTTCCAGCACTGCAGTGACTGTAGACATATGAATCTTATGGAATGTTGCAGGTGGATTGAGGGAGATGCACTGGATTTACAATTTCCTGAATCTTACTTTGATGCCGTTACTATTGGCTACGGAATCGGTAGCATGAAAGATCGGCGAAAAGCCTTGAAGGAAATACATCGAATTCTAAAACCAGGTTCCAAAGTATCCGTTCTTGACTACAATAAAAGCAATAATCGATTCAAGACATTCTTCCAGGTATGCAACAAAAAATAAAATTAACATAAAAGTAAATTAAAATATAATGTATTATAAGATTAAAAAAATTGAATATAACAAATCAATGTTTATGTCGTCCCACGCAAAAAAAAATTATTTTGTTGAATTAAAATAATATTACAAAGTTTACTATATTTCTGCGAAATTTTACTTCTTAAAATTGGTCTTTGATCTCCAGGATAGGTATCTTGACAATGTTGTGGTTCCGATAGCGAAAAGTTACGGCGTTGGTGATTCGTGAAAAGGCATGAAAGAGTCGGTTAGGGGGTGTTTTTTACTGGTATACATATTTATCTGCTTGTTGCACAAACATCATTATTTTGATCATCTTTTGTTCTTAGTTTTAGGCAACATGTAGTAATTATTTCGTGGTTTATTCTATTTCAATTAATGTTATCCAAGCTTTTATATGAAAGGGTTGAAGTTAATTAGTCAAGTTTTGTAATCAAACTAATTATTGTTTGTCTTCGCATACATATGCAGGAAAGGAGTTAGAGGATCTTGCTCTCGAAGTAGGCTTCTCATCAGCAAAACATTTTGAACTTGTCCTTGGACGCATGGGGAACTTTGTAGCCACAAAGTAAAAATAAATAAATTATATTTGTTTTCCTGCATTTTCTATAAGATCTGTTTTAACTTTTCGAGGTATATCCTCCGTTACGCTAGTAATATAATTTTTAATTAAATTTTTAGTTTTATTTTTTAGAAGTTCAATTTGTGTACTCTTATATGTGAAGCTTTAGTGACCCAGAACTAGCTTATATTTAATTTAATTTCATGTTACTAGTAACACAAACTCTATCCGTGCAGTGTGCATGAGTGAAAATCTTGATAAAGTTTGTTACACGGAGGGATAAATTAATTAAAAAAAAAAAGTAAATTACGAGAGTAGAATGAGATGTTCTTTTCGTTCATATTAACAGTCTAACCTCTTATTCAAATTTTAAAATTGAAGCATGGATATAAATATTTTCCTTTGATCTCTTTCTAGTGAATATTTTTCTTTGATCTGTTTCTAGTGATTATTGGAGAAAAACCCGTTTCTAGCCTAGGATTTAGGAATGTGAAGGGAAAGACAACAGAAGTGAGGTGGAAATGTGTCCGTAAATGGTGAAAATGTTTTTGATGTTACCGGAATTATATAGTAATGATGCCCCTACAGCAGGATTATGAGGTTAATTTATAAGAACCAAGGCTATTAGCCTCTTTAGAAATGAATTGAAGTTAAACAAAAAACATTCAAAAAAATTGTGAAAATAAATTTATTGCTCCCGTCCAAGAATGATTTGTCATTCATGAAAAAAAAAATAAAAAAGAGGGGAAACATATAAAAAATAATAATTTTAAGACAAAAAGAGTAAAAAATAGATATCCGAGCGTGGATCAACTTGCCCTTCATTTCCCCGTCATTTTTGCGTCACTGCAATGTACAAGTCTTTTTATTTGGAAGTTTGATTTCTGTTTCTGTAACAAGTGTAAGTAAAAGAGACCTGAAAGATCAGATCTAGTACATAATTAAGAGCTACAAAATCACCATAGGGTCCTAAACTCTAAAGATTTACCTACCAGCAAAAGTGAGTTTTTTTTTCGTTTTTTTTTTTTCCTTTTGGGACAAAATGTAAAATATAAGGATGAACATCGGCTCCAAAAATTTACAATCGAAAAAATAGCTACTCTACCTTACTTTTTCCTGTAAAAACAGTAAACCTAGTCTAGCAGTGAAGCAATTGCACTATAAAGCATATTTCTGCAAGCTTCTTGGTAATGCATCCTATTAGGCGCATTGAAGCTCCATTTTAATCTGCACCACCTCCATTTGTTTCCAGGCAAACTGTATTACAAAGAATAATCTCAGCCGTATCTGATACTGTACATCTACTACTCATTGTTCCAGTAGTTCCTTAACTGCGACATATGCAAAAGAAGCTCATTCCTGCCAATACCAGTGACGCTACTACTCATTATCCATGGCGGTTGTTGCTTGTAATATTCCCTGATCAGCTGTAGAAAACTTCTTATATTATCATCCGGCCTCTTTCCTTTGCCCCCTTTCCTCTTATCGCACTTGGTAAAAACAAATGTCAACGGTATCTGGAAACAATGTATTAATAGCATGAAATAAAACCAAAATCAAGCAATTTATAAGAAATCGACAGGCACATCAGATGTTTGGAAAATCACTGCCAACTGGAGATACTGGTTTCAAGCTAAAGTATGCAAAAACCAGTGTAGCATGCATATCAATTTGAAAGGAAAAGACAGTACATTGTTCCGCCCGAGCCAATTTGCACAATCAAGGTCAATCTTCTGTGGTGGGACACTAGCATCAACAAGAAGCAAAACAGAGACCAACGTCCCCCGGTTCAGAAAGTAACCCTTTGTGAATGAGAACCAATCCATTTTAGCTGCTTCTGGGACATTGGCAAAACTGGTGACAAAGTTTCATATCAAAATGGGTTATAAAACACAAGGGTAAGAGGGACAACAGATGAAGATGGCCACTAACAAAGTTATTGTTATTGCATGCCAAAGTCACTAGCAACAGCATAATCAAGACAGCTGTGGGTGCAGATTTATAGTACTGATTTTCTGGTGAATCTTACAATGATATCAAAAGCTTAAATTTAAGGAAACACAAAATGTCAAATAATGGGCAGTCTACACTGACTCTTGCTGACTCAAAGAGAACGGAAAACAACTAAGAGCTGCTAAATCTTAGGTGAGATGAAGGAAATAATAATTGGCTGCATAAATATAACTCGAAAGAATTAAACTAATATTCCCATTGAGAATTAAAACAGGCTCAGAAAGTCTCTGTCTGTTAAGTAATCTCAGAAAAATATAATGGAAACTAATACGTTCATATTTACTTTGCTTTTCTGCATGACAGATCAATTTTCAGTTCAAGAAAATAATGGAACTTCCTTTTGAAATCATCATTTAGACAATGTTCTTTCTTTAATATAATAGTTCCCTGAAACTGGTGTATGGATTCATTTCACAGAAGCATTTGCTTCTACTGTTCCAAAAGCTACACCTCTAAATGCTGATGCAACTTCGCCGCAACACAACAGAAGCACAAGATTTGTCAAAATTTTTGCTCAGTGGGATTTATTAAATGTGCATCAAACAAAAAGGACAAAAATATGAATGGGTAGCCCATTAAGACTTCCCAATAGAAAATGTGAAAAGCCATGAGCGTGGTCATATGTTTGTCAACAGAAGCTTCGATGACCAACATATTACACTGATTTCATCATTGGCGTACAAGCAAACAATATAAGATACCCGTGTATGCATCCACAAAGTATAGATATCAGTTATGGCTTACCCATAACCAGGCAAATCCACAATGTACCAGCTTTTATTCACCAGGAAATGATTAATTAACTGAGTTTTTCCTACAAAGATGAAAACTCGGTAAGTGATGCCAAGGCATAAAGCAGAACATAAGCATAACCAATTTTGGCCTCAAGAAATAAACCTGGCTTCTTAGAAGTGAGAGCAACCTCTTTCTTGCGAACCAAAGAGTTGATTAGAGAGGATTTCCCAACATTGGACCTGCCCAACATAGCAAATTCTGGTCGGTCATCCTTGGGACAGTCCTTGGGACGATTACTACTTTTCACAAATTCAACCTCCGTAACTTTAGCATCGCCAGCATATGGTCCGAGCACAATATTTGACCCGGGTAAGATCATGTCATCTGTAACCTCGTCTGGGCTGACTCCAGGGGGTATAAACAGCAGTCTCTCTGCAGAAGAGGCTCCCTCAGAAACTAAACCAGGTTTAGAGCTTCTCGTGGTAAAGCAGGAAAAACGAGAATAAGAATTTAACTCGAGAGTTTCAACCATTTGGGTTCTGAAGGACGTAGAAAGGGGAGGGGCATCACAACACATGCTGCATAGGGGTGTACGGAGAAATGAGGTTGCTGGCAGAGCTATAGCCCTTAATGCAACTAGCATGATTCCTTGGTACCAATCCTCGGTAACAATGAGATTGCAGTTGTTTAGCTTCGAGTTGGAAAGGCAATCCTGGTAATATCATCGAATCAGTATATGACATTCTCCATCACATGGAATTTAAACATGTAATGTACCGGGCTAAAAGCCACAGATAAAAAGTGATAAAAATGAACCTTTCATATACTAAATCCAGGAAATTAGAAAGATAGCAGAAAAGAAAGCAAACAGTGACAAAGAAACGAATCAATGACCATATATACCACTCTGTATTTTTCCTACCTAAGGGACTTCGTAGAGTCTGGATTTCAATTCTCATTTGCATAACTATAAGCATACTGCACATTCATCCATGTGAAGATTCTGCAGACTCACAAGAAAACCAAATGCAAAGCAAAAAAGACAGGAGCCGAAGTAATAATTAAGGAAAAAGGAACTTTAATTACATATGACACTGCCAAATATAAGTTGATTGTTTCTCTAAGGCATTTTAACAAACATTAAAGTTATCACAATGTTGAAACGAAACAGTCTGAATCATTTCCATTTACCTCAGCAAATTAGTAGAAAGAACTGTCACCAGCGGGAACCTGGAACGAGCTTGTGCTGCCTTTTACTTTTAAAATGATGCACAGGCTCGGCATCTAACAAATAACGGCGGTAGCGGTGGCGGTGGCGGTGGCGGTGTATTTTACCGGAGAAGAAAGGAAGAAGATTTATGAGTCGATTTCAATTTGGAAGTTTCAACAATTTATTAATTAACCTCCACTACCGTAACTTATTGCAAAAAGGCCATCTGGGTTTGAAAGAAAGCCGATAATCTGTCTCATAAATATGAAATTTTGTCAAATTGACCTTCAAAGCTCTTCAAAAAAACTTGCGCCTCAGGTCTCGATTCGTGCCTTCGTGGTACTCTTCCCTTTTCTGAATTTTTTCCTTAAATATATTTTCTTATATATACCTGGACAAAAATAAATCTTTCAAAAATTTTGTAGACAAACTTATATGTTCCGGATTTCGGAAATCCGAATGGGTAAACTCAGATTTTCGAAATACGAACCCCTCTAAACTCATATGAGAGGAATATGAATTTGTGTTATGTAAATCCGATATTAAGTTAATGATAAGAATTAGTTTAATTAATCTAAATTTGGATTTTCTAAATCCGTATTTACGAATAAAATATTAATTTCTGGATAGAAAAAAATATGTGTTGAAAAATTAAATTTGGGAAAACTCGGATCACGGTAATCCGAATGAACGTTGATTCGGATTACCGTAATCCGAATCTCCTCTGTTTTCTGCAAAATGCTAACTCCCAGTTGGCTACATATTCAGATTTGCTAAATCCGAATCCTTTACAAAAACTCTGGGTTCGGATTTCGTAAATCCGAGTCTATGTGAGAACTGAAAAAAAATTGGACTGGTTTTAACCAGTCCAAAACCTGTTTGCAGCACCGACAACAATGAAACATTGGAAAACAGAAATTTAATGGCAACAAAACAATAAACGGCATTCGATTAACAACAAAACAAATCAAGTTTCAAACCAAAATCAATACAAAAACTACTTTAAATGTACAAAATACATCAAAGGTCTCATTTTTTCCCTTTTCCTTTATTATGCGCAGGAGGAGTGTATTTATTTGGGCCCTGCCGGATCCTGTCTCCCCTCTTAAGATACGTTAGTATTGAACTCTATTGTGGTTGCGACTGTCCAGCAAACTGAGGCTCGGGTTGGGGTTGGGAGTGGGACTCCCCGATGGTGAGAAATTTGACTCCAGGTTGTGGTTGCTACTGTCCACCAAACTGAGTCTCGGGTCCTCTAAGGTCAAACTGAGTCTCGGTCCACCAATGTCTTCAAATTGAGTCTCGACCTGGATGCACGAGCCTCGAGAAGAATGTGCTTGATCCTCATTTTATTGACCCTCAGTTTGTTGTTGCGATGTCCGAGGGGGGATTGGGACCTTTCTCTCGACCACGGTTTCGCTTTTTTACTCGGCGGAGGTTGTGATGGCAAAGATGGATCTTCATCAACTAGGATTTGGGCATCCTCCACGTCCATCTCATCATTTGCACCCAGGGTTAAAGCAGCATGTGTTTGATTGATGATATCGTCTAAATGCTTGTCGAGTTCTTCGTCTAGGAGATTCTCATCTTCTTGTTTTTCTCTAAACTTCTCGGAACTCACGCGAATGTTGTTCAATACTTCACCCTGAAAAGAAATTGGGACGTTAATTAAGAGAGTAAAATTCAAAAAACAAACATTAAAAAAAATAAAAGGAAAACATAAGAAATAAAAAAAAATATATGGAACGAACTCACATATAATTTCACTCGGCTCGAATCCTTGAGGTTCATAATTTTTGAGATTGGATATCAGCCTGACAGTGTTCACCATGAACCATTCATAGTACCCCTCATATACGGAGCTAGGGTCTCCTTCCTCCAAATCTCGTAGCACGTATTTTTCTCTCCTATTCCAATGACGACGTACTGCAGAATGGTGATCCATCCAATTGTTGCTAGGATACCCAAGCATACTATGGGCGTGATTGAGAAGAAATGATGTGTTATCTTTAATCATTGGGCGCTTGGGAACATCCTGTATGTATCCAAATTGTCTCACAACTCTACCTGACTCGTGGGGTTCCCTAATAGCCCAACATAACATCCAACACCTGGTCGTCCAAATGGCTTGGCTTTGTTTACAGAAATCAGGGAGTCTATGAAGGACCTTTCCATATGGTTGCCACCGAAACTGCACGAAAAGAATTTATTTAGATGATATAACCGGCACAAAAAGAAATTCAAAGTAAATATAAATACCAAATTAAGTATTTACATCTTCAACACGCATGCTTGTTAATTGATCTCTAAAAGGTGGGGTGCTGCTCCTTGGGGCGTCTCCATAGGTGTACCTACATTCCCACCTTAATGAACAAACACGAAGGGGTACATTTGAATTAGTAAAAAAGATGAATAAGAAACAAGTAGAAATAAACATTGAGTTATTTTGGACTGAAAATACGTACCGCTAAGGTAATGGAGCGGTCTCATCAATCAAATAATCTACTCCTTTTCTTTGTGGCACGATTCTCTCGATCCGCTCATACGCCCATACCTAGTAAATTTTAATAATAATGTTAAAACTTCAAATTATAACGTCGAAAGCAAAAAACAATTATAACACCAATTGAAAACTAATACATACCTGTAGCAAATATAGATAGCCAGTGGCGTTGTGCATGGTGTACTGTGATGCCTCGCGCAGTCCAGAGTACAAACCAGCCAGCAGTGCTGATCCCCAACTGTATCGACTACACTGATCCAAATCCTCAACCTGGGCCAAGGAGGGATCGGTGTCATGCAATTTCTCGCAGACAATTGTTCTTCTATGTAGAATTTCACAGTTTTGCGAAAGGTTGCATCGATCAAGGCTCTAATTGGTAAAAACCGGATCCCTTTCAACGCATTGTTGTAACTCTCATAAATGTTGATTGTTGCTATGCCTCAACGGCGAAGACCGGCTTTCAATCGAGCCCAGTTACTCCCTCCAATCCCTCGAAGATACTCCCATGCAGCAGGTTTGAATTCAATAAGCTCTGCACTCATACGGTTGTATTTCACTCTTGAAAGCGTCGTACCCATCTTCCAACATAACCGCTTCACCTTTTTGTTATTATATCGCGACACAAGATTGCTACGAATCTGGCGGAGGCAAAGAAAGTGGCCACCATCACCTAAATCACGTCATTCATCCATCTGTGACATTGCGCTCAACAACCCAGCATTCCGGTCGGATATCACACTTACGATTCTATCATGCACAACCCACAACCTCAAATTCCTCATAAAAATGTCCAACTCTCTACTGTCTCCTCATCCACAATCGCAAATGCAACTGGTAAAATGTGCTTGTTTGCGGTATAGACCACCGCAACAAGCAATTTACCCTTGTATCCACCACGCAAGAAGGTTCCATCAATAGGAATGACCGGTGGACATTCAAGAAACGTCGCAGCCACTGGTGCAAATGACCAGAAGACGTATTTAAATGTCTTACTTCCCCTATTCCATCCTTCTTGTCCCTCCTTCCATTCCTACTCTACTACAGTCTCAGGATTAGTAAACTTAAGCGCAGCGATATACCTACACAACAAACAAGTCATAGTTAAAATATTTCAATACATGTTTAAAAAAAAACACTAAAAATATTTCAATACATGGATAAAAGTTGATATTTACCGTGGAAGTTCTTCAAAATTCGAGGTCCAATCACCATAGATCGCTTCTATGGCTTTCCTCCTCCCGTGCCACGCTCTTTTGTATGGCACATCTACTTTCAATAAGGTCTTCACATCTTTCTGTGCCGATGCTACCGTATAATATACGTTGTCCTCAACCTTTCTCCTGATGAGTCTAGCAATCAAAGACGCGTCCACACACCGATTGTCATTATCATTCACGGGAGTCATGCAATTATGTGAATCATGCCATCTCACAATTTTATGTGAGTCATGCAATTATGTGAATCATGCCATCTCACAATTTTATGAAGGCCGTGAGCTTTCAAAAACACACGTATCTTCCACTCACACGGTGGTTCACCATCCTCACTTTCCACATTTAATGTTCTGCACCGCACAGCCCACGTCATTGGACTACTTGCGGCGACCGTATATTCCCTTTTATGATGGATGTTCCATAATTTCACAGCATGCTTTGCTTCTGATTGAGATTTGAAACAAACACCAATGTCCATTCCTTCGAGCGTCTCATCCCACATCTTAAGAGCAAACTCATCCTTGTTCACACATGAGGCATCCCATTTCCCCATCTTACTATATACATGGCGTCGGGGCAATGGATTACAATCCCTTTCCTCATTTCTCAACCTTTCATCATCACTTTCTTCAAAATCACTCTCTCCGGAGACATCACAGTCTCTTCACTTTCACTTGGAGCTATGTAGTCGGGATCCGACTCTTCCCGGTAGTCATCTTGTGCAAATAAAGGTGTCTCCTCTTCATTACGGTTTCGAGAAGTACTAGCACGTTCCCCTCTTGGAAAACCACCAAATGACACGTTGTTTTCAAAAATCGCTTCTCTTTCTTCGTAAATGATATCTTCCAAATCTATGTATAAATCCAAACATGACATTGGATCTATACGGTTCATGAACTCTACATGTGAATCATTCTTGATCTTCACTACACGCCTACCACCGGGACTACCAAAAATTAAAGAAAGGTGGAGTTTCACGTGTGCTGGATCTCAACTAAGTGTCATACAAATCTTACTAATCAATCCCTCATATGACAACCTTTCCTCAACAAACAAACCATGATCCGGCATATTCGAAAAAGTGTTGATGCTACCATTCTCTATCACATGCTTGTATGAAACAAATTAAGCATGTATGATACATTACGTGCCATTGATAACTGTTTAAAAAAAACATCAATATCTAATCATTTCTTAATAACAAAATCAACAAATACACCATACATACTCCATTCATAATTCAAAAAACCTATAAAAAATACTAAAATACTTATAAATCAACTTCCATATCTCATGAATAACTATGATTTCTCATCTCTAACCTCAAAATCAACACCTAAAACATCCAAATAACCAACCAACATAAATCCTAATCTATCATATATCATTCTAACAATCAAAATAACATACAACTAAACTAAATAACATGGTTTTGCAATCTAACCTCTTTTAAATAACGATTCCCACGTATCTAGAGGCAAGAATGGATCAAAAGCTCCAATTCGCCCTTGTTTGAGCTGCAAAAACAGAAGATCCCACTCAGTTCTCGAATGAGAACTGTCTGAATTTTTTTTCTCTTTTATAGCACGATAAACTCGGATTTCCGAAATTCGAGCCCGTAAGTAACTAGAATTTTCGAAATCCAAATTAAGATGGACTCGGATTTCCTGAATCCGAGTTTCGTAAATTCCGGTTTTTTTTTCATTTTTGGTCCTCCAATTTATAGCACATGCCTACTTCCACCAACAAAAATTAAAAGCAGTCCGATTTCCAAAATCCGAATACGGAAAATCAGATTACGGACTTCCGGTTTTTGGATTCAAAAATTTCGCGCCTCGATTTTCTTTTTTTCTTTTTTTTTTTTTGCGAACTCGGATTTTGTAAATTCTAGCACTACTGTTTATTCAAGGAGTCCAGGACCTGGACTCCTTATTTGAGTTCAAATATTTCGCGCCTCAATTTATTATTTTTTAATTAAATTCGAATTCCGCAAATCCGAACGGCATTGTTCATTTTAAAATTTTTAAAAACTATTATTCAACAAAATTTATTTAATTATTATTTTATTATTAAATGGAGTCTCGGATTACCGAAATCCGAATCCTTAATTTTAATCAGAACTCGGATTTCGGAAATTCGAGGGATATATTTCTGTCCACAAATATTCTGAAAAATTTAAATTTGTCCACGTTTATTTTAATTAATTTTTTTTTGGCAAAAAACCCTCCCTTTTGTGTCCCATCCTTTTTTAATACTTTACAATTTTGTAATCTTTGACCCTCGCTTATTAAGTCGTTTTTTATAATTACATTATGCAGAATTTCGGGATTATTTCAAATATGTAATATGTTATTTATATGATACACATGGATATTTGTCAAGTATCCTTTATATATTAAGAGAATAGAATTTCAGGACAAGTTAAGCGTTTTGACACAAATGAAAAAGTTCTCCAAACACGTGCCAGATTGATAGGAGGTCGTAAAAAAATTCACTTGAAACATATTTCCCTTTTATTATTATTATTATTATCCTATTAAAGTAGAAAACAGGATGCTGATGTGGTAATTTCTTATCAAAATGTTTTGGCTCCAAATGCATCATATTGCATAAACCATTCTGCCACGTATCACCCTCTTTTGAAAACAAAAAACTATATTTACAATATTAATGAAGAGATCAGATGACCATATTCATTCAAATTTTGAATTTGACAGTGAATGGAATTTTCCTTCTCCACTTATTTAGGACTTTCGAAAAAATTAATTTTCTATCAATTAATTATCTTCATAAAAAATTAAATTCATTTCTAATCAGTTTTGATTATTTACATATTAATTTATTAGGTGGGAGGATGCCCCGGGGCATTTGTCCAAGGCAAGCATCTAGTTTAGGTTATTACTGAATACAACTTCATTTTACTTTCGACATTTTATAAAAAGACTCAAATACCCCGTATCAATTATCTTTGTACTCCCATCCATTCATCGAACAAATCTATGCATATTCAACTGTAAAACATGTCCTACTGTCAATTAAAACCGAAATAAAAAGCATTACTTTTTAACGAGTACTAGAATATTATTAATTGCTAATTTGCTTAAAGCATGACTAACAAGAATTTTGATGGAACCATACAAAATGGTAACGATATGAAATCAAAACCCGAAAATGGAGCTAATAAAACTCAACATTAGGAGGACGCTTCATCTCGTAATCAAATACTCTATCAAAAGAATCACTCATTGATTCAAAGAAATAGCAGTCTAACAATAAACCAAAACCATTTATAATTTCACCTACAAAATTCCTGCAAATAAAAAAAATCCCCTCTTAGAAAAAGTATTACTCACAAAATTACCTGTTGGGACGTTAATTCCTCATTTTTGCCTGTTTTTCGTATTTTTTTTTATCATGTACACTATCAACAATCGATGAATGTTTTGACTGAATGTTGCAGAATTTGATTGAATTGGTAAAAAAAAAAAAAGGTATACAAGAGTGAAATGTAAGAGGGCTTAGACGTTTGGGGTATCTATATGTTTTTCATAAGTTGCGCGGAATAAAAGTAAGTTGTGTTTAGTAATCTATATATTTATTTCCTGATTTTATTGATATAAAAGAAGAAGTACATTTGACAGTATTCAAGACTTAGCCAAAGAGAAGAACTATCTCACAAAGGTTTGTCTAAGAACACTATGACAGTACAAAAAGTAGAAAGAATTCTAAATATTACATAGCCCTAGCTATTACATAGAAAGAATTAAAGCTTTAGGAGTCTTTTAAAAGTAAATGGTTTAGTAAATTTTAAAAGTTAAATTAATTGATAACAATATGCAATCTTTTGGCCTACTGAATTAAAATTTAAATTAAAAAATAAAAAAATTAGTTACAACTGATTCGTTTTGTTTAGATCCTAAGCTGATTGTTTTGGATTTTGTTTGAATGTTTGTGTATGATGATATGATGACCAATGATAAAACAATTAGTTTTTTAAAAATAATAAGATACTATTCTATGTTTATTATCTAGAAGATATGTGGGATAATATTGAACATTAAATATATTTTTACGGACATTCAATTTGACAATTTGACAACAATTTTTGCTCCGAATTTTTAATTACTAAAAGCTCTATATATTATATTAATTAATTAGTAAAATCATTGTTAATGGTGCGTCACATGTCTTATAATCTTTCTCTTAATATATGTAAATTAAAATTCACAAAGAGTTTATGCCATAGATGGATTATCCCTGAAACACACTAGACAAGTACTCTTGAAAGTCTATATAAACCCACATGTGGTTCTACCTCAAAATCAATTGACGATGAGGGGAGTAGTACATGAACTTATATGTTGGTCAAGTTAAGTTACCATTTCCAATGTGGTAAGGCTGCTAATTCGGTCGGGTTCGGTCAGTTCGGCATGAAATTAGTTCGGGTTAATCGATTTTTTCCTTCCAAGACACCCGACCGAAACTGAACCGAAAAATATGTAACACCGAACCAAACCGGCCGAATAAATTTTTGGATTCGTCGGTTCGGTCCACAGAATGGAAAACAATCCTGGGAATTTATTTCCCCCAAAACAGAACAAAACCCAAAAGGACTTCGCTTCCAATTCCATCACCGCTTTGGGCTAATATCCAAGCAGATGCATCGCCTACGAGTACCTTCGCTTTCGTTCTTCATTTTTATATAATCACTGTATCCACACCACCATACGAGTATCCAAACATCCTTCACAGAGAAATTCAGATTTAAAAAATAAAGGATGGTATTGATAGCAATCTCGTAGATGAAGCAAATTTCGTTAATGCAACCATCAACCAAGAAAGTACGAAGATAATTTGTCTATCCTGTGAAACTCAAAAGAGTGCGGAAAATTCACAGTAAGACGATCGTTTATCCCTGGAATTCTATCTCTTAACTCAAACCAAGCAAAGAATACATTATCTATGAAAGATTCGAATTAAACAACAACCACTCTAAGAACAGTAAGGACACCATTCAATATACTCGATCAGTCATCATTCAAGAGGCTCAAGAAAGGTAGGAGCAAACAATGCTCAAATATGAAGGAATACTATTGATAAGTAATCTCCATAACCAACAAAGATATGCAACACATACACTATCTCAAAATACTTATGTCAAAGCACAACTCATCCAACAAAAGTAGGACAAACCCCAAAATGGAACTCATGAACATCCTCATCATGAACTCAAAAACCAAGCCAAAAGAAAGGCACATCAACAAACTACTAGAAGTAGTATGAAAATAAGAAGATTAGTTTTAAAATAATTCTATCAAGAAGCATACTTGAAAAAGAACGGTTTCTGCAAGATCAAAAGATCCAAGACAAGATGAAAACCCTCTTGGTTAAATCATACTTGACACGAAAAATGGACACACCATTTAACAAAAATTCCTCATAGGAAAAACTCTCATTAGAGAAGACTCAAAATGACCACACATGGGTGCTTTAATTTTCGGCCATCCTCCCCTATTTATAGGCTATGAATTTCGGCCAAGCACCAAAAAAGAAGACCAAGACTCTCTACTCTTATCTCACACAGGAGTAGAAGTAGAAGAGTATTTGATCTCTTTGACTCTATCTGAAATCTACGAAACCTTATCTAAATAACTTATGCTCAAATAGGATAATACTTAGAAGGAATCTAAGACTCCTAATCAAACACTCTAGTTTAATTCAGTCCACATGACTTATTTGACTAGATAATTTCAAAAATAAACTCCTAGACTAGATAACACTCTAATTCTCGAAAATTAGCTCCAAATATTGAAGTAAAATGTCTTTTACGCCCTTCCAAAAGTGGAATATTGGTCTTGCGCCCCTCAAGTTGTAGAAAACTCCAATTTACTCCAAAACTTGTAGAATTCTCTTTATTGACTCCAAAAGAATGGAAAAACACTTGAAACAATTGAGATAGTTTGCACCCTATCCAATTGCGTAGCAATGGACTCCATCTTGAACACTTTGATCAAATGTCCCGTCCATTCAAGAACCTAAATGATTCTTCTCTCTAGCTTGATCAATGATCT